GGTTGAACGGCCTTCATTATTCAGTATAACCTCTTTCCGTAACAAAAAAAGCCTTGGCGCCCGCGGGCACTGCGTTGGGGACCACTGGACTAGAAGTTTGTATATAAATGAGTACTCAAATAACATATGGCTTGAGATCTTTCACAGATATCTGACTGATTGGTTTCCTGCAGTCACCTGAACAGACTGTGGAAAACCATACGAAAAGTCAGGACAGCTAATAGCCCAATTGAAATTCAAAGTGATTATGCAAAATATTAAATAGATGGAAATCAAGTGTTTGCTTTTCGTAAGATAAACATATTCAAATAGAAATACTGACTAACTCACAGTAAATTTTCAATATAAGGAGATTTTATCCATGGTAAGCGATAAGTCTGAAGTTACACTAGAATACTCGAATGAAATGTAAGTGATGTGGTCATTCATCAAGCTGTTGCCACACGTTAATCCAGTCAACTATTGTACACTATATGAATCGCCCTCTGAAGTCCATGGTTCCAATCTTTTAGGGTGTCTATGTTCTTTCCACGAATACTAAGAAGGCGTAGAAGGGAAGTGGAGGTAATGTTCCAAACATTATTAACAGTGACAATAGATGTTGATATAAGTTTGCTACATTCCAGTCACTGTAATTCTGGAGAATGATCCCCCAGTATCCATTACAAAGGCAGCTGAGTGATCCACATGCCAGTCTGGATGCTGAGTTGAAGATGAGAAGCTCTGTTTCTGCGCGGGTATCAAACCCCGGTAGTCTAATCCAGTCTTCAATAGTTTCTTTGACCATCTAGTATCATGCGTTCAACGAACATGTCCATGCCCATTTGGAAGGAGGGTTTCGTGTATCTGTATCACAGCCTGGATTCAAACAAATTCCAATATTGTTAAGCATGAGTTTTAGCAGGTTGGATCTTAATATGATTGTTTGCAAGGACTTTTATAGCGCTTCTGTTGTAACCTCAGAAACCACATCTACAAACTTCATGTTTTTAGTATTGAAAGCAGCAATCACTTGAAGGCAAGTGGCCGGTTAACCGAATTTTACACGCTCCCTTGAGAGGGCATATGTAGACGCGTCTCTTTGATGTTTGCCAGACGGTGTCTGTAACTACAACTACGAGGGCCAGTTCTCTATTAATTTTCGCCAGATGGCACACGTGTCTTTTAAATACGGTAGGTTAGGTTCTCTCAGGCGCTGGAAAAATACGTTTTATGGACATGCGTATGACGAAAATAAACTTTGTACTTACTGGGCAATCCGGTTAATTTCCGTGGAGAACATTTTGTTTTAAGAATTGAGAGAAGTGATTTGTTATGGAAACAATGAGATATCGAGTTCTACATTCACTTCAGACGTGTTACAAAGGACTGTCGGTACGGTTTTCGGGAGAATTTGAAACTGGAAAGAAAGCGGGAATAATTCCTAAAATGTGATGCCTCTTAATCTCACGCTATGGAGCATGAAGACGGCTGTCTTCTGGGTTGTTACGCCGAGTAGTCGGGTAGAAGTTTAAGGATGTCTCTGAGGTGTTTGTTACCTCTATTATCAGGGCAATGCGACAGATGAAAGCCATCTTAGCAGTTTGTTAACTTTTTTTCCAAAGAGAGACGATGAGACGCTGTGCGCTGTTTTCAATAATATGATTTGATTTTAAAATGGTACTTTAGGAATAACTTTGAACAGAACCTGCAAAACTTTCACAGAGACGAAGATAACATATTTGAAGCACGGGTAAGGGAACAGAGTGACGAAGATAATACACGCAAGCAACGTTGTATTGATTTCCTAAAAGCAATTACAGGACTCAAGGCTTTAACCTGGGACCTGATTAGGTGATTCTCTCTCAGACTGCTATGAGGGTAGACGGGATTCAGGAGCTGACATTCTGCAAGGTAATCGCGAGATTCTGCTAAAGTTCAACTACTCAGTAGATCGCGTATTCAATGTCAAATGAATTGTGAATGCTGGAGCTGCAGTCAGGATAAATGTCGCGTCGTACAGCTACTGAATGATCTGGTTGATTGCTGTAATCAAGTCATCCAACGGTTGGCCTCAACCTCAAACTCGTTTCAGAAACACTGTCGCTTATTGAAATTTCCCAGAACAGGGTGGTCCAAAATTTCATTCTCTTGGGCCAAGAAACCCCTTGTGGCACTACTACTGTGCCGTAGCTCAGGAGCGCTGATATTTTGCGTCTAGTACACCTCCAGATGACTCGGGATTGGATCCAACTGCGGGTTCCGGTGAATACGATAAAAGAACTTCAGGTTCCTTAAAACAGGGGCGATTTATTGACTAGCTATGTGGCTATTAGCTTCTAAAGAATAACTCTGCTCCATATAGTTACATTTAACTTATAAACTTTTATGCGTCCTACGTAAAAGTTTTGCTGAAAATTCCGAAAACCTGATAGGGATAAGATGAAGGTCATTCTAATAAACAGAGACTGGAAACCATTTTGGTCCTTCCTTTTCCAGGACACGGAATATACATGTGGTGTTCTTCCTCAAATAAGAATGCTTCTTCCAGAGGACTGGGATCAATTGCGAAGAAATGCTAAAACTGTCAATTCTTCTTGACGGGCTATAAAACCACCAACATGAAACACTTTACAAAAATTGTAATTAAAATTAAATTAAACTGCTATGATACGCAGCTGCTTGTCCCAAGTTTGAACGTCTGTCCTGGACACTTTGGGCAAAAGTAAGTAACAGAACATTCACATGCCAGAGACAACTGATCAATGATCCTTTGAAATTTAAAATTAGAATCAGTTACGATTAATACCTCTATCATGGCCATTCATGGTAATAAATTTCTCAACATTCGTGAGTCAATTTCAAGTCAGAATGACAGACAAACGTTGTATTTATATTGGTAATTCCACTTCTCAGTGTGACGTATACACAAAGGCTACACGTCACAACGTAAGGCACAGCACATCCAGACTGCCCATAAATAATATGGCTACCCACAACTGGTAATGGAAGTTTGCTAGCCAGACTATTTATTATTAAAACGCATAACGGTACCCTTTGGTAAACTACTCTCAATTATTTACGAGAAAGCAAAGTTCAACTGCACCACAATGCGCGCATTTCACAAACTATGTTATGATTGATACCAACATCGTTCATCATGGATATCACTTGTGATTCTCTAAGTCTGTGACAATGACTGATTCATTACACTAACAATATATTGACAGTTCTCACTGTCTCAAGTATTTTTATCTACGCGACGTTTCGGAAGCTCGTCACGTGACTGTGGTTTGTGGACGGTGTCAGTAGTTCAGACTACGCAACGTCGAATGGCAGGATCATTAATGAATGAATGTTGAACCGGAAAGGATATGGAAGTAGTCGTGACCTATTTTAAGGTAATTACCCAGCATTTGCATGGACTGGCGTAAACCACGAAAGAAGTTTCTCAGGATAGCCGGTCTTAGGGCTAACAAAGAATATCTCATGAAGTATAGACTACCTGCCTGAATACCGCGGCGAACAAGTTGCCGAGCAAGCAAGGCGCTATTCATGTTTTTCACTTCTTTGTTAGACACGAACATTTCTTCGTTTGGCATTGAGAATGTTGTTAAACTTATAGCAGGCCTAAATGGGACCAGGAAATATTAATAAGGCGTGAACACATCTCTCAGTACACGCAGAAAGAGTAAATTGTATATATTAATGAATATATTCAGAAATTCGGGAAAACAAGTCCAAATTCTACTTGGAACATGGCTGCACGTCTGTGTTCCCCATGCGTTGTCCTGTTATTAGAAGCCATGAAGTTAACCTATCCATCCATCAAGGAGTCCCACAAAATATCTAAAGAATTTTAACGTTTAAGAATTAATTTAAAAAAACAATCCGAAGAATTTAATCCATGATAAACGGGGAAGATGATCACGTAACTCACGTAAATATCACTTTCTATAATGACGGAAACTTAAAATACTGCTAAAATTTTAACAGACCAGCCTCGTATCTCAGTGTACGTACAACAACGTGTTTTCACCATAATTAGTCAAAACGGCACACTGAAAAATTTCGCGGTACGAAAATATACACGGCCATAAACATGCATCAACATATAAATAATTGTAAATGCATTTATATGAAAACATTAAATAACACGTGTTTAATAAGTCTATTTATGATAAAACCTATGTGTGTGAATCGCGAATTCTAATTACGAAAGATAAGCTACTGAATTTTTGTAATTATAATGTTCGAACATATAATTTCTTAAGAGAATTCGCTGCACATCTAAAACCTCGTGGCGGTACACCAGTTTCCACCGTCCTACCTAATACAACTCTAAATGGTTTCAACGACGGTGCGTTAATTCAATATTGGTCTTTCCATGGACTTCATCCACTAGGACCCAACTCCTGAAGTTTTAGAAATGTAAACGGAAGTTTAAGTCCAGAAGAAGCTGAATATTGAACATGACTCCTACCTAATTTTGTACTGGGACTATTTTCCACGGCGTTAAAAGGCTGAGGCGTATAAAGGAAGCCAGTGGCCACTCACCTCCATCTAGTGCCGAGGTTAAAGAATGCTGTATGGGGCTTAATTAAATAAAGGGATAATGTTGTATTCACTAGACCTACTTATATGTTATTCTTCATAAAGAAACTCTGCTACATATTGCTGGGAAATGGAACAGACTTAGTGTTAAGGTCTACTTAAAATATTAACTACTGCGTGTTCTGAAAATGACTCGGTCGCGTGACACAGCATTGGTAATTTCCCTGGAGTATTCACTATAAATGAAGGCAGAATGTACCAAGCCACCCCTCCTTCCCAATCCTCTTCGAAAACTTAAAAGGAAAGGTTGCGAGAATATTTCACAGAAAATGTTATATGAAATTCCATACATATCTGAAATGTTAGGTTAGAAATTCAGTTATATTATGTCCAATTTTTTCTTCTAAACGCGGTTATATTTCATTATTTGCTGTAACAAAGCAATGGTATATTCCATAAATCCGATGATTTTTTGTTACCAACACGCGAAACAAGTACTAAACTTAGTGTTTTCATTTCAACTCTAAGAAGATAGCAGTATTCCTTTTTACTAGCTTCTTCCGTCGCAGAGTCTAAAAATAAACACAAATTATCTTCAGCACGAAATCTCGAGGGAAAGACGCTCTCTGTAAAATAATTCACGGCTAATATCAACAGCAAAGGGCAGCCCAAGCAGAGAACCGATTGTTCTGCAGACATTCGCCTTCGACTGCATGTCTTCGATTATAACAGGAATCACCGAAAGGTATGAAGCCATTACACTTCAGATCAACTCAGTCATTCTAATAGAAAGGCATAAAGAAATGTCATAAAGCAATTCAAATAAACAGTAAATCGAAGAGTTCTGTCTTCTGAATTGTTACGCTGTGTAG